ATTGTGGACCGTGCCAAAAGTGAGCAAAACGTGAGGGTTTTGTCGCATTTCCAAAAAGGATGGCAGGCGTGGGACATTTGAAGAGGATCTGCAAAGATGCATTTTCCGTGGCACGCGCAATACAAGAGACATCTTCATCAGAGCTGTTCGGAGGTCCGGGCTCTGATTTCCTGAGACGGGTTTGCATTTTGGAGCCTGAAATCTTCAGGTTTGCTGAGATGATTTTGCGTGACAGGCGCAGCACTTCGTATGACCTGGCATCACTTTTTCGTGGCAGGCGCAGTAGTTTAGACAGATGGAGTGGAAAAATCGCAAAACGCATTGGTACGAGGCCGTCAGCTCTGCACTCAAATGAGGAAGTCTCGCAGGATTGCTTCGTTTTTAACATTGTCAAGTTCAAAAATTGAGGAAGTCTCGCTGAACTGCTGCGTTTTTGATGTTGTCAAGTTCAAAAACTGAGGATGTCTCGCAGAATAGCTTCGTTTTCAAGCTTGCAGATAGACAGATAGATAGACAGATAGAGAGATAGATAGATAGACAGATAGATACATGGATAGGTAGATAGATAGAAAGATTAGGTAGATAGACAGACAACTACAACTATAACTATAACTACAACTACAACAACTACAACAACTACAACAACTACAACAACTACAACAACTACAACGACAACTACTACAACTACAGCAACTATACAACTACACAGCTACTACAACTACTACAACTACTACAACTACTACAACTACTACAACTACTACAACTACTACAACTACTACTTCTACTACTTCTACTACAGCTACACAACTACTACAACTACTACAACTAGTACAACTAGTACAACTACAACAACAACAACAACTACTACTACTACTACTACCACTACTACCACAACAACGACAACGACAACAACAACGACAACAACGACAACAACGACAACAACAACAACAACAACTACAACAACAACTACTACTACTACTACTACTGCTAGTACTACTACTCTACTACTACTACTACTACTACTACTACTACTACTACTACTACTACTACTACTACTACTATCACTACTACTACTATCAACACTACTACTACTACTACTGCTACTACTACAACTGCTACTACTACAACTGCTACTACTGCTACTACTGCTACTACCAAATCTACAACTACAATTACGACTACACTAAATTACACTGCGCTACACTAATTACACTGCAGCGCACTACAACTATATACAAATATACATGCAACTACAACTAGTACACTACATTACACAACACTACACAACACTACACCTACAACTGCAACTACAATTTACAACTGCCACTACATTGCACTACACTACACTAATTACAAAACACCACAGCTACAACTACACTACTTTACACTACACTACACTACACTAGACTACACTACTCTATGCCACACTACAGTACACAACGCTACAGTACACTACAATATACTGTAATATACTTCACTAATTGTTACACCACACCACAACTACAACGGTAACTTCAACTGCAACTACACTACGCTAATTACATCACATTAGAATGACAACTTACAATTACAACTCCACTACACTACACTACAACTACAACTGCACTACACCACACCGCATCCAACAGTTGTGGTGAGGTGACCACTGCAACCATTGCAGCCACTTCAAGGAACACCACCCTAACCACCTTCGGTCCATCAATGGATTCGCTCTGCCATCCGTGATTCACAACAACCAACCTCTCCTATAGGTTTCCTATTTTGAAACTTCCGCCACCGCCTTGTGTGGCACTACTGGCAAGATGCTTTTGGAATTTGATTTTGGACCGTTTTTGAACAACTTTTTGACGATTTTTTTGCTGCGCCGGGAAGCAAAAACATCGTAAAATACAGTGTTTTTGTCCTTTTGGCACATTGAAACTACATCTTGCAACATGGTTTGAACTGCGTACATATGCGTAAATACCAGTGTTTCTGCTAGGCACTGGCACCCAAAAACAGTGTACATACCGTGAGGCAAAAAAAACACCGTAAAATCGTAAATACCGTGGTTTTGGTCTTCCGAGGCACAAAAAACATCGGTGCTGACGGTGTTTTTTTGCTTCGAGAGTTTCAAAAACATCAAAAACCGTGAGCACACCACCTATTTGACGATGTTCGGCCACTACGAGATTGAGAAACAAACTGCAGGGGCAGCAGCAACAACACCAACAACACCAACAACACCAACAACACCAGCAACACCAACCACACCAACCACACCAACCACACCAACCACACCAACCACACCAACCACACCACCAACACCAACACCAACACCAACACCAACGCCACCACCACCACCACCACCGCCAACAACAACAACAACGACGACGACGACGACGACAACAACAACAA